TCAACGTATTTTTCAAATCAAATCATGGAGTAGAAAATTTTACAAGTAGGAGATAGTGACTCATTTTTGTTGGATAGTTGAGAGATAAACAATCTATCTCATTAAATATGTATTGCGATTTCTTTATTTATGGAAAAGACTATTAATATATAGTAATGGTAGGACTTACAAAAGTATATAAAAATTGCAATAAGCTGGAGCGGAATGAAAGGCCTACTGCCCAAATTGACCAAGGAATAAGAAGAGCCACTGTTAAAGGACAAGGGTTTTGTGGCCAGCAGATCTAAGGGAGTCCTTCCTTTGCTATCGTCCTTGTGAGCAAGTTTAGGGAATGTTTCCAATATGCTCATAGCAAGACCTAGTTCACACACAAAAATATATATATTAAATTCAATTATTTAGTTATCTAGTTAGTAGTTTGCCTTTAGATAAATAAAGGGTTAATTATACAAATAGTCTCTCAAATATGCATTTTGTTACATTTTAATCCCTAGCATTAGTAGCACTGTTCAAAATCAATAATAGGATGGGTATTTTTAGCATTTTACCAAAAAGATTAATGAAGAAAATGCAAAAAAAAAAAAAAAATTAAAAATTGCATATTTTAAAATTTTGAATCATGTGCGTATTTGATCATTTTGGTTTTGTCAGTGCTTCACGTAAAATTCAAAAAATAAGAGAATTGCTAGGTATTCAGAATTTATGCACCAAAAAAATACAAATTCATTATAAGTGTAAGTAGTCTCATACAAAGTAAAATCACAATCCAACATTATTTTTTTTGAATAAATCAATGAGTACTAGTTTTGAGTGGCCAAATCTTCCACTCATACATAAACAACTATGTGGGCTGATGGACTCATAAATTCAATGTAAATTCAACTTTCAATTCACTCGTGGTACTAGATATAAATGATAATACCAACAATCTCTAACTAGAAAAGTAAATGTTTGAGTTTGAGAAACTTTTGGTCTAGTAAGTTCGTAAAACTCACTAGGATAAGTGGTATTATTCGATAAAAGTAACGAGGAAAACTCCAATTGAAAAATATTTTGAATTCATTGAAAAGAAAGAAAAGTGAGCTCACTAAAATATTCTTCCATGATGGCAGCATGAAGAACAGTGGAACCATCAGTTCTCGCCATCACATAATGATCACTATGAATTCTTCCATCTTTGATGAGAAGATCGAAAACTTCCTTCTTTCCACCCGAAGCCGCAGTGAATAGAGGAGTCTCTTCTGAATTATTGCTCACCATAACCAAATCTCTCTCATACTCCAACAGCACCTCCATAATTTCTTTCTGACCGAGCTTGGCAGCCTCATGCAGCGCCGTGTCACCTTTTTTATTTCCTAGTCAAGTGAAAATAAATAATAAAGTTATCCTTCGCTCTAGTAGTTAAGATTTTTCAATGAGTTAATAGTTAATATGATATTAGAACAGATAATAAATTTTATAATTAGAAATTTAAACCTCATTATCTACTCAACAATGAAATAACTTAGCTTTTCTCCAATAAGTGGATTGGGCCGTTGAGTTTAGTCTGTGGGGCACCCAATAAAATTATCGGGTACAGTTTATGGAGTTTTTTTTTTTAATTAAAAAAATTAGTTTAAATGAGTTGAAGAATTGAAAAAAAAATAATAATTATTTAAAAGTTAGAGGAGAAGTATTTTTAGTTTGTCGTGTCTAATTATTCGCTTTTCAGCTTGCTAGAAGTACACCAAACAGGTCATTCGATGATCAATTCTGCTTATTGTGTAGAATTTCTATTAAAAAAATTTCAAAATTGACCTAATGATAATATGATATAATTTTTGTCATCCTTATAAAGACAACACAATTATATGGTTACAGTTAATAAATTAATTTAATTTTTAATTTTTATTTTGTATTTTTTAATAGATGATCTACATACTAAAATTTAAAAGAAAAAGGCAGAATCGATGGTTCAAAGTAATACCGGTGGCAAGATTTTTGTCCATATTTGAATCACTAATAAAAGAGTTTTGCCACATGTGAGAAAACTTGTTGAAAAAAATTAAACTTAAATTTTTAGGTGAGAATAACGATTCAACATATACCTTTTGCGAGGTCTTCATTCGTTAGTATACCATCCCCAAGAAGCATCTTGAAGGCGGATAAATTGCCGTACATGGCCAGAAAATGGAGGAGAGTGTTGCCTCGTGCATCTATCGATTGCACGCCTTCCTGTCTGAGAAAATTGCAGAGGAGTGTGGATGACTCTGATGAATTGCAATCCGATGCAAGCTTGAAAGCTCTGGAGCGGCTGATGATGGGAGGAGGAGCTGTGAAGCTGTTGGTTGGTGAGACTGCCATTTTTGGAAATAGAACTCTGAAACTTCTTTGAGTTTCATGTGGATAGGAAAAGAATGAATTACTAATTATAGGAGTCTTGAGAGCAAAGCAAAGGTTGTCAAGCAATTCTGTTTATAGAAAGGAGGAGAATAAAGGAGATATTAGTTTTGCAAGAAAAGAATTCTAAAAAATACATAGTTGGGAGTACTGTCCAAGCAAAGTGCACTTTGTGATGGAATGGTGATTAGTAGGAAGTTTATGCAGAGATTTGGACGTTTATTAGCAAAAAGATAATTTTGTTGAATTTTTAAGATTGTCAGATTAAACTCGAGATACCCACAACAAGTTCAACTCCTAACAATTAATTGGATTAGGAAGGATAGAAAACCAATGAGAACCATGAAGAAATGAAAATGGCCGAATGAGAGTCCTCGTGGTTTTTAAGCGACGGGTATCAAAATATATGTATTAATATTCGCAATAATCAATTTATATAGTTGTTAAAAGTCTAAAATTTTAATATGTATCAGATTATATCTGCATGACTAGTCCAAGACTCTTTTATTCCATTTCTAATTTTGAGAATGCATGCAAGAGTGCACTTTCTATGAGCTTCCATTGTCATCATTATCATGTACAAGTCTAGAAAATTATTAAGTTTTCCAATCTTATTTATTATTCATGTTTATCCCAAAAGTATAGCTCCTTTGAGAGAATTGATCATTCATAGTGCAAGCGTCCTTTGAAGCAAAACCTGTGTTGTTTTTTGAGTGTTGGCAACAAAAACTTGCTATGAAGGCCTTTTCACCAAAAAATCCCCCAACAAAAATTATAAATACTAGCTTGAAGTTGCACTGCAACTTGGCCAGGTTTGGTCAATTTGAGGATCTCTTCAGAGTAAGGGATTTGTCTCGACCGAGTTGTCCAAATTTAAGCTCAAATTTATCCCAGATAATTTGAGTAGGATTGGTTACCCAAATTCAAACACACACACAGAAATGTCTTTAATTGACCATTGCATTTTTTGAAAATAAAAAAAATATATATAAAAAATTACAAATATGAAAATTGTTTGAGTTTTGTATAATAAGCATTCAGACACTACACAAATATTAAATTTAAATTTTTTATTACTTTAGTCCACCCAAATTACACCTATAACTTGAAGGGAGGAGTTAGTTTGGTTTGGTTGGTTATTTATTAGTTTGGTTGGTTCTCAATTTTGCTCTTTGCACATTGTTGTGCTATCATTTTACTTGACTGTCTTCAATATGCTACCATTTTCCTTAATATGTCTCACAAACCCAGAAAATCTCAAGGAATGCTCACAAAGCTGACAAAACTCAACCATAAGAAAACTTATATAGTGTCAAAACCAACTCAGATAAACCAACAACTGTAGAAAACTAGAGGAAAAAACTCGTTGTATTCAAAACTTAATATGTCTCACAAGCATTCATTTGATCAAAACCAAGGTTGATCGAAGATCTTAGAAAAATAGGCCATATTTTTTCGAACATCAAAGAAATAGAAAAAATATATCAAATGAACTTAGAAAATTTTGAAAAATTTATCGGTGAACACTACTCTTCAAGTCAATCATGCTGCTGTATTTATTTATTTATTATTAATATATATATATTTACATATCAATCGTAAATGAAGAATACCATAATCCTTTCAGTCCACAATACAAGAATATAAGAGAATGACACTATGATACCAAGTTAAATGTACACTAAGAAGAAGAAAAGAGCCCATATGCGGTTAATGAGCTCTCTGCCCCCATGCATCTAATCAGCTTGCGTGGTTCATTGGTTTCATTGAATAGAGAGAGACCAAAGCACATTGAGCTCTCTGCCCCCATGTATTTGTATTAGATAGAGTTGCCCCAACCCTTCAAAGAATTAAACAAAGCACAAAACTATAACAGATAATAACCATAGATGTCTTATAGGGGTGGTTGCTGCCTTTTCTATATATATATTTTGTTTTTTTACTTTCATGGTATTTTTGAATTCACCAGTTTATAGCTGATACTTACAATGATTTTGAAATGAACTGGTTATGTAATTTCTATTTACCTTAAAAAAATGGGTTATATCAAAATACTACTTTGCAATTACTTTATGTTGTTAGATTTTGCTTGGAGTCATTTCTTTTAAGCTGACATTCATGTGCTATTGCAACTTTTCACTTCCTTTCATGTTTCACTTGTGCATCGCAGATTCCAATTGACTTGCATCCAGTGACAAAAAAATCTTCTTTGGTGGCATTGTTGCATAAATTACCAATTCAATTTAATGTTCTAAGTAGACTGCACGGCTATGGGATCAAGATGGAATTTCACCTGGAACAGTTCTCAAGGGGCCACTTTGATTCTTTTTACTATATGTTTGCACAAAATTTTGAGCATGTTATATTGTTTCCTAAAGAGCACACAATTTGTGAAGCAAAACAACCATCTAGTTGCTATTACTTTTGAGGTCATTTAGATATACAGTTGTTCTGTCCTAAGTTCCTAACGTAAAATAGTATTATTAGTCGGCACTGTAATGGACTTCTGTTTTCTTGATGGGGAGATTTGCAAAGAACATTTAAAAACAGTGTGTTTTAATTAATAGAGCAGCTGTTCAATTCCTTACTGGCATGTGGCTGTAGGAAATCCTTAAAGTAAGATGCAATGCTGTGTGGACACATCAATCTTCACCTACGTGTTATGTATAAGAAAAGATTGCAGCTATATGTGCTTTTATGTATGTACACATGTTGCATTTGAAATGTGACAATTATGTTTTTGACATGGCTGATGGAGACTATATAAAGATTGTGTGAATAATGTATGCCAATTAAATTGTGCAGGTTTTACATGCTGGTGGGAAATTTGGTGGTTCAAGTAGTGGTTACAGTGTCTATGGGGGACTACATGGTGTTGCCTTATCTGTTGTTAATGCATTATCTGAGGTGCTACTTTATTTTCTTATAACTTTATTTGGCCATTCCCTTCAAGCTGGTTGAGATATGTATATATATTCATGGTTTTCTCTTTCGTTTTAATGTTGTTGGTTTTGGTGGGCCTTTGAGTTCCTTTTGGCAGTGGAGTAGGCTTTAGTTTACTATAATTTTGATGATATTATATATATATATATATATATATATTTTGCTGTCAATTAACTTGGGCTCTCCACTTATGTATCCCTGCACTAGGGTGGAAACATTTAAAATGATGGCCTTCATTTCAAGTTTCAAGTAATGATGAAATGAGCTTTATACATCTATGCTGAGAAAGGGTTACCCTTTGTCACCCTTACTGCGTACCTTAGTGGTTGATATTATAGGCAGATTGATGAGTGGGGCTAAAGAGGTTGTTTTAGTGGATTGTTTTGTGACTAGGAGGGATGGTGTATCTGTGTTTCATTTGCAGTAGTAGATGATACCATTTTTCAGGCCTAGCTAATGCTTGAAATTCAACTAGAATGACCCTTTGTCTTACTTCCCTGTTCTGTGACCTTCAGTTTGGTGGCTCCTGTGTCATAGAAGTATTGAGACTCCTTTATTCTGGTGTCAGCCACATTACTTGTCTATAAAATGAATGATATCTCTTCTAGGCTTGCACGATAATCCTCAAATTCCTTGGACCACAGGTTATGCTCCAACTCACTCTTCATAATAGTGTAACTACTCTGGCCCAGGGTGGGCTGTGTTAATTGTGTCTCCCTTAGCCATCATATCAACACTAAGTGCTATATGCTAAATTTTGCTTGCTGGTGCGCACTCAGTTCTTTCATATTTTTGTCTCTTTTTTGTTGTTTATATATACATTTTACAGTTTGTGAGCACTAATCGACTTAGGATCGAATAATTTGTTTCTGGCATGTATTGGTTTGCAGGCATTAGAAGTTACTGTTTGGCGTGATGGAAAGCCTGTTTCAACTTTAATGTGTCATGAGCTTCTTGATGAATCAAAAGACCGCCAAGGGACACACATTAAGTTTTGGCCTGACAAAACAAGTTAGTCTCGACTCTCAAAACCCGGCAAGATTTCGATGATTCTATTGATTCAATTTGTAGCAATAATTGCATTTAGGGGTTTTCATAGTCTTTGTCTAACTATGAACTTTTCTGCAGAATTCACTACTGCAATTCAGTTAGATTATAGCACTAAAGCTGGACGGATTAGGGAGCTGGCTTTTTTAAACCCTGAGGTATAGTCATTACCATCTGCTTATTGTTCTGTGCCATCTTTAAACCTTTTGAGTTGTTATTCTAATTTTTTTTTTCTTAAACTTCTCATTTATTTTTCAAATGTAGATTTTTTTTTTTAATTTTTAAATTTTTTAATCTAGTAACTTGCTGCATCTTTTCCAAATATTGGTCAAAGTTGATTTCTGTTTGCAGCTGAAAAATTTAGAAATCCCCTAAATATTGATTTGTGATTATATATCAATTTTAAGTAGTAAATATCAATCACAATCAAACAACTAAGACAAATCGACAGAACGATTTTAATGTCGAAAAACTACAATTGGAGCGCCTCCAATTGTGATAAAAAAAACCACGGGCCAAAGCCACAAAACAATCCACTAAGAAGACAAAAGGAATTACACAAGTGTACTCTTAATTATCTAGCGAATCCACGCCTGAATTGAACCGACCCCTATATGCCTCTTCTACCACGGTCTTCACCTCGGAACTGTCTTGCCCAACGTTGAATCCACAACGTCGATGTCGAATCACGACGATGAGCCACTCTGGAATCCACCAAAGCTTCAGGCCCGAATTCTCTAGAATCCACCGAAGAAGAACACTCTCTTTTGTATAGAATAAACAAACAATCCTTTGATGTATACTTCTTAAACCATGAGTTGAATACTCAATCAAACATCAAAGAAAACTAGCAAAATAGCCCCAGATATAAACCCTAATCACCAAGAAGAAAATCTGGAAGCCGTAACCCTAAAAACGGATGAAACCACATATTTAAAGAAAACTGATCTGCGATCTCCGCTTAAGCGCAGGAATGGCCGCTCCAGGGGACTTCGCTCGAGCGCAGGAAAGTTCGCTCGAGCGTAAAATCCCAACTTCCAACACTTTTGCAGACAGGTCAAACTTCTGGAACCAAATGTTCTCCGCTTGAGCGCACACATGGCAATCATGAAAGAATTAAGATCACAAACTATTCTGCATAGGCACAATTCGAGTTGGATTCGCATTTAAAACTCATCGCCTCACTGACATAAAAGATCGAATAAAATTACAACTGAAAGGAGTTTTGTCAAACGGGATTGCCAAGAATAAAAAACCTAACAGCAGCTTCCTTTGCTGCTGAGAGGTATTCGTTTTGTGAATGAATGTCACACTTGTAGTATACCTATTTCCATATGATGATGCTAGAAGATTGTACGTGTCAAACTATGGAATGTTACCTAGCATGTTGTGGGATTATCAAGGCTCACTGGCTAGTCATTCAACAATGATTTCCTGTAAAGGGTAGAGTTCTGACTGCCCTAACATTTTAGATCTTTCAAAAATGAATCCTTTGTTATTCAGTATTAATATTTTAATGGTTAGCTATTAATTTCATTTTCTTGATGTGCCATCAGTCTTTGTGACTTATGTTTCTTTTTATTTTACTATACACTGCCCTTGTGTCACTGTATGCAGATTACTATTGCTCTTAAGAAAGAGAATATAGATCCAGAGAAGAACCAGTATAGTGAATACTACTATGCCGGGGGATTGGTTGAGTATGTGAAGTGGCTAAATACTGACAAAGTGAGCTTGGTTTTATGTACATGTTTTTTCCAATACTTCTCCATTGCTATGCTCGTTGAGTCCTAATTTTTGATTCTTCCATCAAGTTTACACCATTTTGTATCCAAACTGAAGTACCAAAGGATGACTAATTATGTGGTTGCTTGCACATCGTCATCATCATAGTGTGATATTAAATCATCAAAAATTAATTGTCTTACCATTTATGTAGGGTTATTATTCCTAACTTATTTGAAAGAGAACATATAATCTTCTCCCAGTTTTAGATGAACTAAATTTCTAATTGTAAAAGTCAAATAAAAACTGAAAATTGGAATAGGTGATAAATCTAATGACTATTATGACTTGAACGCACCAACCAGATAAATTTTTATTTGAAGCCTTGATAATCCACCTTTTCTACCTGAAAGTCTTGTCATTCCCAAACGCTGATTACACCACTGCTAATAATCATGTAACATTTTGATGCATATTTATCTCTTGATATGTGAAAACTGGCTGGGACTGTTTAGTAAAAGGATTTTTACCATCATTCAGTTAATTGATAATTGTCATAAGCAGCAACTCTTGGTTTGACATTTGCATTATGCTTGAGTCTTGACTGTAAAGTGACTGATAGTTCTTTGATCCAGAAACCACTTCATGATATTGTGGGTATTAGAAAAGAAGCAGATGGAATCAGAATTGACGTGGCTCTTTAGTGGTGAGCAATTATTTCTTTCGTTCTTCTTGTTGTATTTTTTTTTCATCAATCTTTTGACAATTTCTTCTTTCAAATTTATTTATTTTGGTCAGTCCACAAGAAAATACAGAGACCACTTCAATAGATTCAGTCCGCGTGTCACTCATTCACTATCTTGTTACATGCTTCTTGATGCATTTGCATGAGCTATGATTTCTTACAAGCTGGTTGAGCTATGATTTCTTATAATGATATTGTTGTATTGTCACTCTTTTGTGTGAATCATGACTGTCACAATTCAATTATATGATTGATTGAGCTGCTCTTCCTTAAGAATATATCCTTTGGGTGCATTTTCTGTCTCTTCTATCTGATCATTGCCCTCATATCTAAAATTTGATTATTTCTCTCACTAGTCACACGCATGTTCTTCCCTGTATAGACAGCTCTAGCAACGAAGAGGGCAAGAGAATTTGTGAGACAAAAGAGTGTTTTAAGATCCTCATCTCTTCCTGGAAAGCTAGCCGATTGCTCAGCCACAAATCCTGAAGATTCTGGTATGCTTTGTTTACTCTTTCATTGAAGTTAAAAAAAAGGGTAGAGTTTTATAACAAATGTCAATTGGATTTCTGTTGCAACGATGTTTTTAATGATATTTCTGTTATCAATTGGAGTTCTGTTGCAAGGATGTTTTTAAGGATATATAACAAATGTCAATCCAAGTGGCTTGTTAATCATTTATCCAGTTTTGTTTAGGTTAATTTATTGTTAGTTTCTGGGGTTGAACTGCATAAGTTTATTATATGATACCAATTCCTCTGGATTCTTTTCAATGTTGAGAAAAGTGTAGAAATATGGTTATGAATTATTCCTTGCCCCGAGTAGCATGACTCTTCTCAACTTTATGCTATTTAGGATTGCTAATTGCTAATAATATCTAGCCAGTATTTGGTACTCTGGTTGAAGAGAGGTAAGAGGTGTCCTAGTTAGTTAGTATTACAAACATGTCCGGGGGTGTGCCCAACATGTCCAAAGAAAAATATTAAAAATTAAACATGCCATGTGGCTTGTCCACACGTGTCCCAATGTGTCGTGTGTCCCTGCGTGTCCAAGGAGTGTCTATGTCCTACAAGTGTCAGACACGATGCAGCAACTTAAATGAAGTGTCCGTACTGGTACTTCATGGATGTCTTTGGATCTATTAACTTCATAACTTGTGGAAAGGTGTTGTATTAGGTTTGGTTTGGAGAAGTTTTTGGTAATAACTTGAGCAACCAACTTCAAGTTCATTTTATATTTTGCAGAAATATTTATTGTTGAAGGAGATTCAGCCGGTGGCAGTGCAAAACAAGGGCGTGATAGGCGCTTCCAGGTGAAATTTTGACTTTTTCTTTTTTGTAGCTCTTAGTGCAAGAAATGGTTGAAGCTTCTTATGTATAATTTTGTTGTAAAGTTTGCTTTTCTAAATTGTGTGTCTTGTACTGATTTATATTTGCTTTCATGGACAAAATTTTTCAGTCAACTTTCCATTAATTAATGATGGTGTGGCTTAGGCAGCACTTTTGGAAATATTTTTTTCCTCCCCAATGCCACAAGAAATAGTAATAACAATTACGATAATGGTAATATAATAGAATACAAAAGAATCTAAAAGAAATAGAAAAAATGAATAAAGAATTGTATGCTTTGTGTGCGTGCGCACATGGTGCTAGTGGAGTCTTGTCCCATGCTTGGTTACCTTGCTTAAGGTGGATATTTTATATTTGTTTATAATTTGTGACCTATGTATATCACTTATTGACTTATTTATTTATTTTATATCAGATAGAATTAAAAGTTAAAACACATACAATACATGTAATATGGTTAGTGTACGAGCACGAAATAATTCTTCTCGTATGATCCTGTTGATTAAGTTTGCACTCTTCCAAACAATGTTGTTTTGCCACCTGAAAACACAAACGTGAGCTAACCGGCGGATGTGTGCTGGAAACCCCTCCGATGCCTAAGTCAGTAACAAGACAATAGACAATAAGCTCTGTGTATTCTAGAGTAAGAATTGGGATTGTAATTGTGATACCTCTCCATAGGTCCTACTATGAGCTTTTATAGATTATGTCGGGCCCAATCCTAATAGGATTCCAACTCTCCTTATAAGAGTCCTCCTAGGAATCATACACCCTACTCACTACCAACCAAGTGAGATGGTTTGCACAATCCTAGTAGGACTCTACTCTCCTTAGCAGAGTCCGCCTAGGAGTCACACTCCTACTCACTATCAACCAAGTGAGATGGTTTACACAATCGCAGTAGGACTCTAACTCTCCTTAGTAGAGTCCTACTAGGAGTCTCATCATTGCAAGCCAAGTGAGATGGCTGAACCCTTTACTTCGATTATACATTTCGAACCGAACTGCCTTATCTCGGTCCCCTGCCATTCGGACCGTGTGATCGAAAGCCAATCTATCGAATGCCACCCTACCGAGCTATACACAGCTCGGCCCTCGCCATTGATGTTACCTCGGTTTTGTCTGTTCAGACCGAGCTAACTGCAGCAGTCTCCGACCAAACTAACAAGGACGAGGTCCAACTTGTGAAGCCCAAACACCTCGGCCCATAGTTCGGCCCAAATCCAAAATATGAGATGTCTTTTTGGCCTAAGACCGAGCTATACTAGCCCTTATCTCGGCCCATTGCGCGGCCCAACTTCCAAAGAAGACTTTTCCTAGCTCGGCCCAATTTGTTTACAAATTACCCTCTCAATTGCACCTTAATTCCATCTGTGTAGCATGATTGGGATTATTTTTCCTCCAGCTGAGCTAAGAAACTTGCTGGTCAAACCTGCCAATCTACTTTGGCCGAGGTAACTATCATTGTCACACCCCAAATCCGGGCATGACCGGCCGTGGCCCACAGGGACTTAGCCCAAGGCACACGTAAGCCTAAACACGAATCCAATCACATTGAACAACTGAACAATAGTCCAATGTATCTAGAACTCAACTTTCCTTCCTTTCCAAACCTGATGACTCCTTTCCATGGTGATACTTTCAAGAATACCATATCCCCCACATGAAACTCTAAATCTCTCCTACGATGATCAACATAACTTTTTTGTTTACTCTGAGCAGTCAATAATCTCTCTCTAATGGTGATAATTTTTTGTGTAGCATCCTCCACCAAATTAAGTCCCAACATTTGCCTCTTACCAACCTCATACCAGCACAAATGAGACCTACACTTCCTCACATACAAAGCCTCATAAGGCGTTACTCCCAAACTAGAATGATAACTATTATTATACGCAAACTCCATGAGCGGCAACTCTAACTCTCCTTAGTAGAGTCCTACTAGGAGTCTCATCACTGCAAGCCAAGTGAGATGGCTGAACCCTTTACCTCGGTTATACATTCCGGACCGAACTGCCTTATCTCGGTCCCCTGCCATTCGGACCGTGTGATCGAAAGCCAATCTATCGAATGCCACCCTACCGAGCTATACATAGCTCGGCCCTCACCATTGATGTTACCTCGGTTTTGTCTGTTCAGACTGAGCTAACTGCAGCAGTCTCCGACCGAACTAACAAGGACGAGGTCTAACTTGCGAAGCCCAAACACCTCGGCCTATAGTTCGGCCCAAATCCGAAATATGAGATGTCTTCTTGGCCTAAGACCGAGCGATATCTGCCCTTATCTCGGCCCATTGTGCGGCCCAACTTCCAAAGAAGACTTTTCCTAGCTCGGCCCAATTTGTTTACAAATTACCCTCTCAATTGCACCTTAATTCCATCTGCGTAGCATGATTGGGATTATTTTTCCTCCAATCGAGCTAAGAAACTTGCTGGTCAAACCTGCCAATCTACTTTGGCCGAGGTAACTATCATCCTGGTCAAAAAGTGCCATAAATTAGTTGGTCAAACCTGCCAACCTGCTTTGGGCGAGGTAACTATCTCGGTCTAAGATTTCAAAAATTTGTTAGTTAAACCTGCCAACCTGCTTTGGCCGAGGTAACCATCATCCCGGCCAAAGAGTTCTAAAAATTTTGTTAGTCAAACCTGCCAACTTCCTTTGGCCGAGGTAACCATCATCCCAGCCAAAGAGTTCCAAAAATTTTGTTGGTCAAACCTGCCAACTTCCTCCAGCCTAGATCCTTATCTCGGCTTAGGAGAGCTAAATGTTGGTTATTCCTGCCAGTCTTCTTCAGTGCAGATCCATATCCCGGCTTGAAGAAGAGCTAAATGCTTGGCCATTCCTGCCAAACTTCTTGATTGCCCCCCAGTCGGGCAAAGACTCGTTGGTCAAACCTGCCAACTTCCTGC